TGTTCCAAAAACACACTGGCCTTCTGGAGTCAGGGCACCCTTGTAAAATTGGGTGTAGACTGCTTCCATTCTTTTGGATCTCCCCATTCTGCTTCTGTTTGTGGGGAGGAGTCTGCAGTCAATCCAGAGGCAGCCATAGCTCTGGTCTACAGAGGCAATGATGGAGTCAACAAGAGGCCTGGATGACCCTTTGACAGCCCCAAGGTCACTTACTCAAACTAGTTGCCTGTCTAGTCAATCACCCAAGGGAAAAACAAAGAAGTAATCATTGTGGAATGATCACTTGTCACTTGGAATCCAAAGGACAAATGAAGTTGCTCAATAAAAAGGTGAAACACCGGACAGTAACTCGTATGAAAGGCCACAGAGAAACAAGATCTGAGAGTAAGGCTAGGTAGGGATGAGGCTCAGCAGCAGAGTACATGCCTAGCATGTACAAAGCTATGGATTCAATCTCCAGCACTGAAAAAAGAAAAAAAAAGGGCTCCAAGAAAGGAAAGTTAAGAGTACACTAATGAAGCCCAGTGTGGTAGCACAGGTCCTGTAAATCCCAGCACTCCGGAAGCTAAAGCAGAAAGATCATGAGTTCAAGGCCAGCCTGGACTACAAAGTAAGACCCTGCCTCAAAAGACACAAAACAAACAAAAAGTACACTGATAAAGTAAGAGAGGCAGGTAGCACTCACAGGATGCATCCCATAAGCTATAGAAAGAAGGATCTTCCATATGTGCTATCTGGAAGGCTGAGACAGGAGACTTGGAAATGCGACAGAAATTCTTGTCTCCAAAAAAAAGCACACCAGCCAGGCATGGTGACATGCAAATATAGTCCCAGCTACTGAGGAGGCTGAGGCAAGAGGACCACTTGAGTTGAGTTGAGACCCCCATCTCAAAAAGAAAAGGCACGAAGCCCACGCTAGGACATGGGTGAACACTGAGGATATCACCCTCACAGAAATAAGTCAGTCACAAAAGGACAAATACTGTATGATTCCACTGACTCGAGGTCCAACAGCCATCAAATTCATAGAGACCAAAAAGAGAATGAGGGTTGCCAGGGCACCAGGAACAGTGAAACCAGGAGCTGTTGTGTCAAGAGCCGGGTGCCAGTGGTTCACGCCTATAATCCTTGCTACTTGGGAGGCAAAAATCAGGAGGATTGCAGTTCAAAGCCAGCCCCAAACAGTTCAGGGACTAAACCCTATCTTGAAAAAACCCATCACAAAAAGGGCTAAAAGAGTGGCTCAAACTGTAAGAACTCCTGCCTAGCAAGTATGAGGCCATAAGTTTAACACCCCCCCCCAAAAAAAGAGGACAGAGTTTCAATGGTGGTGATGACTGTCCAATGTGAATGTACTCAAGGCTAAGAACTGTATGCTTAAAAATGGTCAAAATGGGTTAAGGCAAATTTTTTGTGTATTTTATAAGAAGATTTTTAAATGACTAAAATGGTAAAATACAAGGCTGTCTGTCAGGATGGCTCAAGTTTAACCCCCAGTAACTCTCCATCTTCCTGCCTCAGCCTCCCAAATACTAGGACTACAACAAAAATGGTAATTTTTACATTATGTGTATTTTATCATTAAAATACACACACACAAGCCCAGTGCAATGGTTCATACCTATTATACTAGCTACTCAAGAGATGGAGATCAGAAAGACTGTGGCTCGAGGCCAGCCCAGGCAAAAAGTTCACAAAACTCCACCTCAACCAATAAAAGCTGGGTGTGGTGACACACAACTACCATCCCAGCTACGTGGGTCCAGGCTGGCTGGGGCATAAACATGAGACCCTATTCGAAAAACACCCAAAGCAAAAAGGACTGGGGGATATGACTCAAATGGTGGAGCAACTGCCTTGCAAGTGCAAGGCCGTGAGTTCAAACCCCAGTACCACCAAACACACACACACAGAGTCACTACTTCTCGGGCAGACAGTTTTTTTCCCAATCCTCAGCTGCTGGACTGCTGCTAATAAGCCAAAGAAGCTGGAAGCTTCTGGGATCTCACACCCCTTTAACTTTTCTTGCATCCCTCTTTCCCATTAACTTGTAAGCTCCTAGATGGCAAGGACCAGTCTCCCTCCTTTTCTGTGGCTCACACAGTCCCTAGGGAAGGATCTGCACAGACCAGGGCTCATGACTGTCTGTTACCAACCCCACAGGCAGGTCCTGGGTACTCAGAGCTGAAGGGACCCTGGACTGACGCAGGTGTGCTTTCCATGTGTAGTGCAGTGGGAAGAACACTCAAGGCCACCATGGTGCCAGAAAGACTGGGGCCCTGAATTCACACAGGGGCTGGGATCCCAGCTTTGCTACTTCTTGCTACTTCCTGTTTGCATCCTTATGTATAAATGGGCATCTCCTCCACTGGATGATGGAAGAACTCAGGAGGGACCCTACACTGAAGCCTCTTGTCATCCTGCTCAGCACTGAGCACTGTGTGACAGTTGCAGCTCTTTCCCTGAATCAGCAGCAGTCTTAAAGGGATCTGAAGCTATTAGAAGTCTGCAAAGGGATCTGAAGTTATTAAGAGCCAGGTCTCCATCTTTGCCACTGCAGAACATGAAGATAACTTCCCTCCCCACAATGCTGTTTTCCTCATTGTTCCTTTTCAGGCCAGCAGGCCCCAGGGCCATCTAAAGAACATCATTAAATAGTTCAGACAGAGACAGATGGCTGAGCGGGCACAGCATCCCTCCTTCTCCACCAGCCACATCAGAGGCGATTGCTGGACACAGAGCTAAAATACCTGTGAGTTTTAAAGCCAAAAAGGATCCAAACTCACAGGATGCAAAACACCAAGAGGAGGCAACCCTACTGTAAACTACATTGGTTCATAGGCTGCCACAAATGTACCCCTTTAGGGAGTGATGTTGATAATGGAGGAGGCAGGTGTGGAGGGCAACAAGTTACTAGAGAAATCTCTGCACCTTCATTGGATTTTGCTGAGAATTTAAAAGTGCTCTGGAAAAAAGTCAACTCTTAAAGAAAAACTGTCTGGGCTGGGAGCGTGGCTTAAGTGATGTACAGCACCTGCTTAGCAAGTTTGAGGCCCTGAGTTCAAACCCCAATACTACCAAAATGAAAGAAAAGGAAATAAAGACAGAAAAAGAAAAAACTGTTTCAGAGAACTATAACTGCCTCTTTTTTTGGAAGTGTTAGGGATTGAACCTAGGGTCTTATACATGATAAGCAAGTGCTTTACCACTGAACCACATCCCCAGCCTCATAATTTCTTTTAAATGATGCTGTTTAAATAACCCTAATCATGAAAGATGTCTTGAGGGAAAAAATAAAGACTAACAGGAGAGAGAATTGAGAATATTAACAGAAGGGCCCAAAAAGTTCTAAAAGTTATGAAATTAACTACTCAGCCATTTCCTGAGGAACACACATGCCTCTTGTGATGGGCCTCACTTCCTTGCAATTCCTACTTTTACCTGCTCTGACTTGGCATTAGAGTTTGATTATGTGGTGGGCAACATGGCCACATCTATAGGAGCTGTAGGAAAGGTTCGGCCATACTTTCTGGAATTCCCCACCAGCAAGAGAGTGTTGTTTCAGACTTCAGGTCTCTATGAAAGCTTCTTATATTCTTCACTAATAATACTCTCCAGCACCACTGAGGGCCAGTTCAAGCTGGCTTGCCTGGCAGACAGCTGACCGGACAAGGCTTGTGTCCAATAACCACAGGGCAATCCTCCAGGCTCCACAGAGGTGATGTGCCTGCAAAGCAGACTTCTGAATTCTACAGCTTCTCATCCCTCCATTAGACACTTAAGGAATGCAGCTGAGCCAGGCCACAGGCAGGTCCCAGCCACACACCACAGCCAATGCCAGTTGCAAATAGAAGATCAGCAACTGAAAGTAACTAAAACAAACAGGACGGAGTGCTGAGCACAAAAAGGCAACACCACAGAGCCAAAAATAGCCTAACTTGTTTTAAGAGGATTCTGACAAACCAACCACATGCACCCCGCCCATCAGCAGCAAAAGAAAACTCAATGAAGCAGAAAACTGGATCAGCTCAACAAAGACAAGGACTCCAAGAGATTCTTGATAGCCTCACCCCCCCCACCCCACATAAACCCTAGACCTGCCAACCTACCCACCCTCTCCTTACCCTATTTACAAACTGTGTCTGGATCTCAAACTCTAGTCCCATTATCTCAAAAGCCCATTGGCCTCTGTGTACAGCAAAGAAGTTACTGTACAATCCTATAGTTTAATCGTTTAATCTAAGGGCTGGGGTCTGAACATGGATTGGGAGCCCAAAATAAGCACCTAAAGGTGCTCATCCTTGAGAAGACAAGGAGGCAAGGGTGCATGGAAGGATAGAAAAACAGTGGGTTTGATGCATGGAGGAGCTTGTGGGTGAGTAATGATGGATGAAGCTTCCCATCAGAGCCAGGCAGTTCAGAATGGGTGTGGCTCTGCTTCAGCACCAGATAAAATCTTCATCCCATTGATTTTCGGTGGCCCACTGAGTGAGAACTGCCTGTCACCTCACTTCCTTCTAATTCTTATCTACACCTGCTCGGACTTGCTAACAAGAGAACCTGATACTTCCAAGCCCTGAAAGCAGCTTGCACATCTTGGGTTCCTCAAACATGTCAGATAATCCCTCCACGACAGGAAAGGTGCAGTAGAGGCTGATCCTGTGCACAGATCAGCCCCCACTGAAAGGATCTGATGTAGGTGGTGGAGATGACTGCCTTTATACCCTCCTCACGTACAGCATGGAGAGATCGTAGGGCAAGAAGACGACAGGGCATCTCCCTCCCAGCACACAGGCTGTTATTTCCACAAGAAGCATATGCTCTAGAACCAAGGAACAAACCACCTGCCATCCCCCCATGCCACCCCCCTCCCCAACTGATCCCATTCAAAACACTGAAACTGCCTTCAAGAGGAAGGGGTGGTGGTGGTGGTGGAGCTTAGTTCAGGAGCAGGAGCAGCAGGAATCACACAACAGCACTTGAAAATCACTCAAAAAAGTATCCATTTCTCCCTCTGCCAAGTTCCTCTTTGGTTTCCCCTACTCCCTTAAAAGAATCTGCACAAATGCAAGTACCCACCTGTGTCTCCATGGAAAGTGCTGTCCCCATCACTGGGCCAGATCTGCCCCGTCTTTCGGACACCCACGATGGTAGCCTCAGACACCACGACCTGGCACTGCCGGTGCCTTTTTTGACACTGCGGGGTGGGGGGACTGCTGCTGTCGAAGGACTGCTGAGAGTTCTGCGAGGGTGAACGGCTCTTGTCCCGGAACACGCGGTAGGTGGTGGGACTCGGGGACACGCGGCTGGATTGGCCAGAGGAGAAGTCCTCCTCACTGGAGGTGAGGTTCTCGTTGGAGCTGCAGTCCGGGGTGTAGCCACCTCCACTGTCCTCAAAACTGCGAGGGGAGTACGACCTGCGGGGCCAAGTCAAGCGCTTCTCCTGCTCCGAGGTGCTCTGGCTACGCAGGAGCGGGCCCTTGCCCTCGCCTTCCACCATCATGCCCCCGACATAGATGCTCTGGTAGGGCTGGTACTCCAGGGGCGGCCAAGGGGGCCTGCTGCCGCCATTGGCATTGATCAGGTTGTCCTTCAGAAAGCGGGGGTTCAACTCGGCGTCCTCATAGTCACCGTCGAGTCCGCAACTGCTCTCAGAGGAGCGTCCGCGGTAATGGGGTCTGGGAGCATCCCCCAGGCTCTGCCCAGCGCTTTGCTGGGACTTCTTGCGCTCCATTTGCATGGCCTGGCTGCCCAGGGAACTGATCCGGTCCGATACCTCTTTGTCGTTGACCTTCACCAGGCCGCGCTCGTGGTGAAACTCTACGTTCACGTAAAAAGGCTTTTCAGTATCCGCCGCGGCAGGCTGGCCATGGCCTTTGCGGATCTTCTCGAAGTTGGACCTGAGCGCCGCCACGCTGGTGGGGGGTCCTCGGTCGTCCCGGTCTGCGGGAGCAGCGGCCCCGGGTCTGCGGGCGGCCGCCGGCCGGGCCTTGCCCGGAGACCCTTCTCCGTCGGGCCGAGCATCAGGCTCTTCGGGCGGTGGCGGATCAGTGCCGTCGGCGGGCAAGGGCGGCGGGCGCGTTGCGGGAGCGCGGGGCTCGGCAGCGCCGTCGGGGGGCTGCGCCGCGCGCCGGAAGCCCCAGCGCTGCCGGTCATAGCTCTTCTTCTCCTTGGCCAGGAGCGTCTGCAGGTAGATCATGCGGAAGCGCTCCTGGTTCACCTCCTGCTCCAGGCGCCGAATGGAGGCCTTGCAGCGCTCCAGTTCCTGCTCGATGTCACCCACAGAGCGCAGCTCCATGCGCGGCGGCTCCGAGTCCGGGAACTGCGCCTTCCACGCCTCGGCGAAGCCCACGGGGTCCACCATGGCGCGGCTTGCCTCACCTGGGCCGCTGGGCTGAGCACGAAGCCCGCCTCAGCGGGGGCACGGAGACCTCGCCAGGCCTAGCCCAGGGCGCCAGGCGGCCCCCATGGCCCGTAGCAGCGGTGACTGCGAACAATGCCCGCCCCCCTCCCGGGTGGCAGGTGAGGCGGGAGGCTTGGCTACCCCTGGCGGCGGATGGCGCGGGGCGGGACGCGCGCGTGGGGGCGGGGCGCGCGGGCGGGGGCAGGGCGGGGGGCTGCGCGCGCTGCTATTGTGTGCGGGGCTCCTCCGCGCGCGCGGAGCGGCGCGGGGCGGGCACTGCCCTCCGCTCGCCTCGGCCGCCGCTAGCCCATGGCCGCGGCCCGCGCGCTCCTCTCCTCTGGCTCCCACGCTCCCCGCACCCCAGCTACCGCCACCCCCTTCGTGGGCGATGCGCTCCGCCGGGCCGGCTCTCGCAGCGCTCCCGCCCGGCCCGCAAACGGCGCCGCAGGAAGGGGAGGGCCGGGGGGCGGTGGCCGTGGCGCGGCTGACGGGGGGCCGGGCACGCCTCTTAAAGGGGCCGCTCCCCCACCGAACCGCTGTCCTTCCTTGGTCCCTGCACTCTTAGGGAAACTGAGGCCACCACGGCGGCGGGAACATAGCTGTCCCATTCTCAGTCCACGGTTGTCCCATCAGAAGGACACCGGACCAGCTGATTTAGAGAGACCCTTCCAAAGCCGAGGCCGTTCCCAGTTCCACGCACCTACTATTCCTGGCTCATTTCCTCACAGCCAGGTCACTCATTGGCGTCTCGGCTGAGCGCGCTAGGGAATACCCACCTCGACCCAGTCCGGAGAGGAATCGGCCAAGGGAGGTCACCCAATGAGACAGACAGGGCCAGACTGGATCACCGATGCCAGCAGCCCGTGTGCCAACAAGCCTCCTGTGTTGTGGACTTGGGTGGGTAATGAAACAACTACTGCCATATGGGATTGTCCACAGAAACACCTAACACTAAGTAATAAATAGGAATTTCTCCTTTAGGTCACTCAACTCCACTTATCCTTTCCCGCATGCTGGGTTCTGTATTTGTCGCAGGACTTCTGAACTCCAGAGGCCGGTGTAGGTTTCCAGGATCTACCTGATGCAGCACTTACCCAATTAGTCTCCCTCTGAAGAGGTCACCAACCTCCACCATGGTCACAGGACCGAATGGAAGAAAGGGCAGCCCAGAGCAGGTAGTAAAAGGGAAATCTTTGATGGTTCTCCAGGGAAGCCCAGAGATCTGAGACACAGGGCAGAGGGTATTCTCTGTAGGGAGTCTAATGAATACAAAATGATAATACCCAACCCAGCCTGCCCAGTGAGGGGAAAGAAAACAACATTTGGCAATCAAAGAACTGGGTTTGAGTGCAAACCACTTCTTCATCTCTGTGCCTCAGTCTCCTGAACATTGAAATGAGAACAAAAACGTCTGCTTTCAAAAGCTGTTATTCCGCATGGATACGAGTGGTTACTATGCCTTTCCCCCAGTTCCAGCGCCACCAGAGTAGATGCCTGGTCCAGTTTAGGGAAAACTAAACCAGAGCTAACTGCCAGACTGGCCAGGCTCCACTTCAGGTCTCCCCAACCTAGAGCTGAATGACCTTGGTAATTCCCTTCTCCTTTCTGGGTTTCACTTTTGTCCTCATCTGAAAAACGTTGTGAGCATCTTGCTTAAAGGGCCCAAATGGGGCAAACAAAACAAGCCTGGATATATGGCATGTGGAGTTCAATCTATGATTGTCTAAATGTTAGCTGCAGAGTGGAGAGCCCTTGGGATCCATCTTCAAGGCTCCACCCGGGCTGCACAGCTCACTGCCGCCCTCTGCAGGTCTCTCTAATCTCCTGCGCTACTTGTTTCCGTGAACATCTGGCTGGCAAGCTAAAAACATCCTATTTTTGCAGAGGATGAAACTGAGATGCAAGTAGTGCCAATGACCTTGGGGCTGGTGGAACACAGAGGGACAGGAATCCCAGAAGTGCAATAGTAAGCTGTGTTCTCACATTTAGAAGATTCTCCTTTCTAATGGGTATAATAAATCTTGACCTGGGCTGGGGATGTGGCTAAGTGGTAGAGTACTTTAGCATGTGCCTGGCCCTTGATTCATTCACCAGCATGGAAAAAAAGCCAGGTATAGTGGTTCAGAACTGTAATTCCATTTACTTGGAGGCAAAGGTAGGAGGATGGAGAGGTTTGAGGCCATTCTGGGCAAAGTTAGCAAGACCCTATCTCAAAAAAAAAAATATATATATATATATGTATATATATATATATATATATATATACACACACACAGCCAGGCACCTATAGCTTACATCTGTAATCCTAGCTACTCAGGAGACAGAGATCAGTAGGATCACAGTTCAATCCAGCCCTGCGCAAATAGTTCACAAGACCCTATCTCAAGCATGAGGCCCTAAGTTCAAACCCCAGTGCAAGTGGTAGAGGATGAGGCCCTGAGTTCAATCCCTAGCACCACAAAGAATAAAAGACCCTATAGGGTCATGATCAACACTATCTGCCTTCTCTAAATGATCTGCTCAGGTCACCCAGTGGGGACCCGGCAAAATGAGAACCCAGGCCTCCTGAATCCCGTTCCCTGGCCATTAGCAAAACAATTCCCAAAGTTTTTTCTCCTTTACTGACTGGCACCATCCTCAGGACTTCCATAAAAGTTCTCCCACCCTAAGCCTCAGGTCCTTTTCTCCACAGCTTTCTCTCTCTCACCCTCCTTCCTCCCTCCCTCCCTCCCTCCCTCCCTCTCTCCTGCAGAGCTTTCTCTTTCCCCTTGTGAGGGAAGGTGTAAGGAGGGACATGGGTTCCAGACATATATTATACTCTATAATATATGTGTCTGTCATTCAGTGTCTGTCCCAGCTAGATCTGGGATAGACATTTGTCCTATTCCTGTGTCCCCAAGTACTCAGCATATATCGTGGTCAAATGAGGATATGTGTGTGACCTGGAGGAGGGTATAGCCCAAAGAAAAACACACACACATTCACCTTTGTGTGTATGTGTGTCCATGTATGTGCACAAATGATAAAAGTGTCAGAGCTGGGCCAGAGCAGAGATGTGTGTATCCTTGGGGAATCCAGGAAGAGGCAGAGGGCTGGGGAAGGTTTGCCTGGGCTGGTGACACCTGAGTTGGTGTTATGGGCAAGGAACAGATAGGCAAAGACAAGGAGACTAGGAGACTTCAAAGTTGTATGTATGTTTGAGGAACAACCAGGTTAGGAGACAAGGCTGGTGAGGGCAGTAGGATGTGAGATCAGAGGCCTTTTAGGCATGTAAGATATTTAGATTTCATTCTATGAGACCTGTTGAAAGTATCCTAGAAATGGAGGAGTGAAGATAAAGGAGAATAATGGAGGGGGTGAATTCAACTATGATACATGGTAAGAACTTTTGTAAATGTCATAATGTACCCCCAGTATAACAATAATATGATAATAAAAAGGGGAAAAATAAAGTGGTTAAATAAAGAAGTTTAGGTTTCATTATAAATAAAAGTCACCAAAATGTTTTAAGTCTGCTCTGTCCAATAGAACTTTCTACCACAATGAATATCTCCTATGATCTGTGTTGAACATTACAGCAACCACTAGCTTCCTCATGTGATTACTGGGCACCTAAAATGTGACTTTGGCTGTAGGAGAACTGAAGTCTTAGTTTAATTTAACCTTAACTAATTTAGTTTTAAATAGCCACAGTGACTGCCAGATTGGTAAACATAGTAAGCAGAGGATGGCATGCTTGGATTTATTGCTGGGAGAATTGGAGAAGTTGGAAGTGGGAGCAGGGTGAGTGCTAGGTCCATGTCTGTGGCAGTTGTCCAAAGTGGAAGATGTTGGTGACGTAGACTAGAGATAAAGGACCCTAGATACAGAGGACCATTTTAGAAGTGGGGCTTGTAGAACATGAAGATAGATTGAGTAGGGGAATGAGGGAGAACCAGCCACAGGACTGACAGTGGAACACTGTCCGCAAGGGGCAAGCAGAGGTGCCCATGTGAAGCTTCAGGTACCCATTGCCCATCCACAGGAAGGAGTCAGATGGACAGATGGTGAATCTGTAGCACAAGGAACATTCAAGACCACAGATAGAAATTGGACTGTTGTCAGTGAACAGCTGCTGTTTGTTGCTATGGGGCTGAAGAGTTTCCCCCTACCAGCGGGGCACTGGGTAGAGAAGGGGCAGGGGCTGGACTAGGAAAGAAAGTAGAGGTGAAGGGATTGGCCACGAAAGTAACAGGGACTTAGGAGTCCAAGGGAGATAGACTAAGCGAGGAGGAGACAGAACCCCTATGCCAGTAGCTGCTGTATCCTTGGGAAGAACACTGGCTGAATCTAGCACCATCCTAAGGCCAGCAGGGCTAAGGTAGTCAGTCCCTGCAGTCTGGCTGGAGAGGCTGGAAGGTGACTAGGCCCAAATGTGTCCACAGGGTTTAGCAAACAGGGGGGACTTCACTTAGGGCTCCACAACTGTTTGTGAATAGTGACATTGTCTTTCTCATTATGCCTTTCTGAATTCAAAATGAAAATGTAGTCTGTCTTTTATAATTAAAAACAATAGATGTTTTTGTTTTTATTTTTTAGAGCTTTGTTGAGGTATAATTGACATACAATAAGCTGTGCCAATTTAAAGGGTGCAGTTTTGTGAGCTTTGACATCTGTGTATTCTGTAAAACATTCACCACAAATAAATAACACATATTTCCATCACCTGTAATATGTGTTATGGTCTTAAATCTCAAAACTAAGGGCTGGAGGTGTAGCTCAAGTGGAAGAGTGCCTACCTGGCAAGCATGAAGTCCTGAGTTCAAACCCCAGAACAACCACACACAAAAAAGTTAAATCTCAAAACTAAAATGGGACAGGGGAGGTGGGATTTTTGGTGATGTTGCCCTTCAGTGTTGCTTCTTCTCTCCTCCTCCCCCACCTCCACCCTGTGCTGGTGATTCAATCCAAGGATTTAAGCATGTCTGGCAAGCACTCTACCACTGAGCTATACCCCCAGCTCCTCCCTAAAATTCATATGTTGAATTTTAATCCTTTGTGTGATGGTATTGAGAGGTGATTAGGTCATAAAGATGAGGCTCTTATGAAGTACTTATGAAAGAACCTCAGAGAG